AAAAAAAAAAATTAATTAGTGGCGCTGTGGGCCACAGCGACTCTGTGTCGCTATAAGCCACAGCGCCACTTAAATAAATAATTAAATCTATTTTTTAAAATTATGTTTTTAAATAATTTTTTTTTAAATATATAATAAGTATACTCAGTTGATTATTTTAAGGTTACATTTAAATTATTTCAGTTTTTTTCATTTTTTTTCTTAAGTGGTGTCGCTATGGGCTACACCAGCTTTGTTGGCTCACAAACTGTGTTGGTCCAGCCCATAGCGACACTGTTGTGGCTCATTCCAGCCATCCGTCCGCTAAAAAAAATGCCACATGGCATTGGTGTCGCTATGGCCCATAGCGACACTGTTGTAAACAGCCCCAAAGACGTAAATAAATTCAGAACAGCCCCATTTACGTAAATAACTTGGTCAACGATCCCACTTTGATCAAAAACCCTTTTTTAATAGTATACTACTTCAATAAATTGCACTATACATCTAAACCAAAAAAAAAAAAAAAGGTGTAATGGATGATTATAGTGTACTCCTGAGTTTTCATCATCCAATCCAACCACGAACCATCTTAACATCATTTCAAATTTCCAACTTTAATTGATTTATTGAAAAAGTGACTCAAAGCTAAAAAGTTGCTTAAAGAAAGTTTCGTACGATCTGCGGAGAGATAGCCAGCACATATATACTACACTACACACCGCGTAATTGTTTGAGACAAAATAACTTTTTGAGCAGTGATGATTACTCCCAGAAAGGTCAACAAAAGAAACCAAAGTGTTTCCAAACTTTGTTTTTCGTTGAAAAAACCTCCAGCTTTTACACGATTTTGTGCATGCGTGCGTAGTGGGTGACGAATTATAAACCAATTATAAAATTGAACCTTTTAACAGTCACTTTTAGAGATTTTTTTTTATCAGATTATTTATTTTGTCACACATTATTTTTCATCATCACTGCATTTGGATAATTTTCGTGGAATGAAATAGATGAGGGGGGATTTGCAGGTAATTGAAAAAACTCACAACTGTTTAGAGACAGTGATTTGATTGAAATTAAAAGTAAATGATACTGGGTCTCAAAAAAAAAATAATACCTGTTAACATAAGGTGATTAATTTGTGTAGAAATCAGAAAACAACAAAATACTTCGTTTAATGATAACATGTGTTCTTACCGGAAATCTGCTGGAGAGATGATCCTCCGAGTAAGATTGGTGAGTCTATGTTCTTACCAGAAATCTGCTATAGAGATGATCCTCCGAGTAAGATTGGTGAGCCTCCTTCGCTGGTATGCTTGATGCTCCAAAATGGGGGTGATACCTGCAAAAGAGACTCTGATGCTAAAGTTAGTGTTTGTAGGTGTATGAGTCTCGTATAAGTAATGCACGTACATTTGTGTGTATTAGAGTTTTATTGGGCCTTGGGCCCGAGATCAGTTTATGACCTAATTGGATAGCGAGCCGATGTCGCCTAGCGCCAGCCATCCGTCCGCTAAAAAAAATGCCACATGGCATTGGTGTCGCTATGGCCCATAGCGACACTGTTGTAAACAGCCCCAAAGACGTAAATAAATTCAGAACAGCCCCATTTACGTAAATAACTTGGTCAACGATCCCACTTTGATCAAAAACCCTTTTTTAATAGTATACTACTTCAATAAATTGCACTATACATCTAAACCAAAAAAAAAAAAAAAGGTGTAATGGATGATTATAGTGTACTCCTGAGTTTTCATCATCCAATCCAACCACGAACCATCTTAACATCATTTCAAATTTCCAACTTTAATTGATTTATTGAAAAAGTGACTCAAAGCTAAAAAGTTGCTTAAAGAAAGTTTCGTACGATCTGCGGAGAGATAGCCAGCACATATATACTACACTACACACCGCGTAATTGTTTGAGACAAAATAACTTTTTGAGCAGTGATGATTACTCCCAGAAAGGTCAACAAAAGAAACCAAAGTGTTTCCAAACTTTGTTTTTCGTTGAAAAAACCTCCAGCTTTTACACGATTTTGTGCATGCGTGCGTAGTGGGTGACGAATTATAAACCAATTATAAAATTGAACCTTTTAACAGTCACTTTTAGAGATTTTTTTTTATCAGATTATTTATTTTGTCACACATTATTTTTCATCATCACTGCATTTGGATAATTTTCGTGGAATGAAATAGATGAGGGGGGATTTGCAGGTAATTGAAAAAACTCACAACTGTTTAGAGACAGTGATTTGATTGAAATTAAAAGTAAATGATACTGGGTCTCAAAAAAAAAATAATACCTGTTAACATAAGGTGATTAATTTGTGTAGAAATCAGAAAACAACAAAATACTTCGTTTAATGATAACATGTGTTCTTACCGGAAATCTGCTGGAGAGATGATCCTCCGAGTAAGATTGGTGAGTCTATGTTCTTACCAGAAATCTGCTATAGAGATGATCCTCCGAGTAAGATTGGTGAGCCTCCTTCGCTGGTATGCTTGATGCTCCAAAATGGGGGTGATACCTGCAAAAGAGACTCTGATGCTAAAGTTAGTGTTTGTAGGTGTATGAGTCTCGTATAAGTAATGCACGTACATTTGTGTGTATTAGAGTTTTATTGGGCCTTGGGCCCGAGATCAGTTTATGACCTAATTGGATAGCGAGCCGATGTCGCCTAGCGCATGTCCGAGGCATAGCGACACTGTTGTGGCTCATTCCAGCCATCCGTCCGCTAAAAAAAATGCCACATGGCATTGGTGTCGCTATGGCCCATAGCGACACTGTTGTAAACAGCCCCAAAGACGTAAATAAATTCAGAACAGCCCCATTTACGTAAATAACTTGGTCAACGATCCCACTTTGATCAAAAACCCTTTTTTAATAGTATACTACTTCAATAAATTGCACTATACATCTAAACCAAAAAAAAAAAAAAAGGTGTAATGGATGATTATAGTGTACTCCTGAGTTTTCATCATCCAATCCAACCACGAACCATCTTAACATCATTTCAAATTTCCAACTTTAATTGATTTATTGAAAAAGTGACTCAAAGCTAAAAAGTTGCTTAAAGAAAGTTTCGTACGATCTGCGGAGAGATAGCCAGCACATATATACTACACTACACACCGCGTAATTGTTTGAGACAAAATAACTTTTTGAGCAGTGATGATTACTCCCAGAAAGGTCAACAAAAGAAACCAAAGTGTTTCCAAACTTTGTTTTTCGTTGAAAAAACCTCCAGCTTTTACACGATTTTGTGCATGCGTGCGTAGTGGGTGACGAATTATAAACCAATTATAAAATTGAACCTTTTAACAGTCACTTTTAGAGATTTTTTTTTATCAGATTATTTATTTTGTCACACATTATTTTTCATCATCACTGCATTTGGATAATTTTCGTGGAATGAAATAGATGAGGGGGGATTTGCAGGTAATTGAAAAAACTCACAACTGTTTAGAGACAGTGATTTGATTGAAATTAAAAGTAAATGATACTGGGTCTCAAAAAAAAAATAATACCTGTTAACATAAGGTGATTAATTTGTGTAGAAATCAGAAAACAACAAAATACTTCGTTTAATGATAACATGTGTTCTTACCGGAAATCTGCTGGAGAGATGATCCTCCGAGTAAGATTGGTGAGTCTATGTTCTTACCAGAAATCTGCTATAGAGATGATCCTCCGAGTAAGATTGGTGAGCCTCCTTCGCTGGTATGCTTGATGCTCCAAAATGGGGGTGATACCTGCAAAAGAGACTCTGATGCTAAAGTTAGTGTTTGTAGGTGTATGAGTCTCGTATAAGTAATGCACGTACATTTGTGTGTATTAGAGTTTTATTGGGCCTTGGGCCCGAGATCAGTTTATGACCTAATTGGATAGCGAGCCGATGTCGCCTAGCGCATGTCCGAGGTCACTCCGCACTGTGATGCGGAGCTCAAACTCGGCATAGCGGCACGGATAGTACAACATGTAATATCAAACATAGATTTGAGTCTCTTAAAATAAGAAAATGTAAAATAAATGATTAAAATTTTTAATAAGTTCAACTCTTTATAATTTATTGCGTGTATACACGTAATATCAACAATTATTTGTTTTTTTTTCAATTGTTAATTTTTTATGAACAATTGATATTACTTATATTATTAGTTTATTACCTTGCAAAGTGAGTGGCTCACTTTATAATATTTAAATCCTAAGAATAGCACTATATCAGTATCACCCGGGGAGAGAAAACATTTTCCATTTAACATTACCCTTTTTGCAGTTATACGGAAAAATCTTATAATATGCTTAGATGAATGAAAAGGAAACATGTTAAAGAAAAAAATAATAATAAGAGAGAGAGAGAGGGAGAGAGAGAAGACGAATAGTATTTTTAATAATAAAAAAAATTAATTTTCTTTTCTTTTTCTTCCATGCCAAAAATAGGGTTATTTACTTTTGGTTCTCTGTCCCACGTAAGAAGATCGATGGGTGTAGTACCGTCGGTAGCCCAACCCATGGTGTGTGGCCGCTTATCTCGCCGGGGCCATTATAAACGTACGCCTAAGCTCTCGTAAGCAATGTGTGTTCACACATAAATATACCCCATCATTTATTACCGACTTTAACTAAATATATAATTGTGTTATTGCTCGGAGTTGGTCTCAGGACAACGTCTTCGACGAGATTGGTAAATTTTTCCTACTCTTATAAGTAGGATACTCTAAAATGGAGGTGAGACCTATAAAAAGATTTCGATATCTAAATTAGTTCTTGTATGTGTGAATGTTTAATATATAATATACGTATCTTGATGATGCGAATATCTCATTGATTAAGATATTTATATTGAATATCTATCTTTTTGATGTGTCAATTAGGAAATAATTTAATCTTTTAACCGATATAATCGAATAGTTTGAGGTCAAGATGAATCTCAACTGATATTAATATGATGTCATGCATTCGATGTAGAGCTGTTAAAACGGTTAGCCTGACCCATGTAGGCTGACCCACTTTAAATATGGGTCAACCCAACTCGGCCCATTTTTAATTTTCTCAAAAAAATTTTAGCCCGGCCCGGCCTTCCACGGGTTAGTGAGTTATACAGGCCAGCCCACCAACCCACCAAAAATTAAAAAAAAAACTATAAAAAAAAACTAAACTTTTAAATTAATTATAAATTAACATAATAATTATAAAATTAGCATTATTAATAGTCATAAGTCATAATCATCATACAAAATTAAATATAAATAATGATAAAAGTCTAAAATAAAATTTTTCAATATCTCATCATATAAAATTAACTACAAATCATAATTAAATTTTTATTATAAAAAAAAATTGTGGTCTAGTGGGCTACCCGACCCACTACGGGTTTAGCCTGTGTCGGCTGGGTGAAAGTGGGTTACAAAACTTTCATTTTTTTTTTTCTCAATCTGACCTATTTTCAAGGTGGGTTAAGTTGGCTCAGAGAGTTGTGGTCAATGGGGCTACCCGACCCACTACGGGTTTAGCCTGTGTCGGCTGGGTGAAAGTGGGTTACAAAACTTTCATTTTTTTTTTTCTCAATCTGACCTATTTTCAAGGTGGGTTAAGTTGGCTCACTAGTCACATCCCATCTTAAGGGCTGTAATCCGATGTTACCGACTTGGTGTGGTCGGTACAAATTGATAAATTATTCATTTCAAACTTTTCATCCATTGTAGACTAATAAGGTTTTTCATACGTAAAATAATATATATTAATGATTGAGATGGAAGTTATACAAACGATGGTACGTAGCTAACTAGATCACACTGCACATCCAAATGGACAGAGTGCTCTTCTTTCTCTCTCTACAATTTTACCATTCAAAAAATAATAATAGTAATAATAATAAGGACGTAGTTTTAACTCCACCAAAATATTCGGGGAGGAAAAAATAATTAAGTTAAGTATTTGTGCATGCGTTGAGAGTTGACTTGACGACCGGGCTATCGTTCTTCTTGTTCACGATGATCACGAGAGGATAGCCGGAAAACCCAATTGGAGAGTGACTTTCTTCTTGAAGTTCTCTTGCTGCAGGCGTTGTCGTTGGACTCTGCTGCGACGAATGCCTTCAAGCGTTTCATGGCTAGGTTTAGAGTATCTTCGGACATGTTGGCGAAGCACATGCGAAACCATCCAGGTTCGGTACAGTGGCAAGACGCGCCTGGTGATATGTTTAACCGAACCTCGTAGAGTATCTTCTTCCAAAGGTCCATCTCAGCTTCGAATGTGTTGGAATGGAGAAGGTGACTCATGTCAACCCAGCAAAAAAGGCCCGCATTGTTGGTCTTCAGGCAGCTTATGCCTGCTTTCTGTAAGCCCGAAACGAGCATTCTCTGACGTCGTTTCAGCCTCTTTTGGTTCTCAGAGATGTAGTTTTTGGTGAACTTCTTATCACCCAGCATGGCGGAGAGGAGGTACTGAGTTTGTGATGAAACCAAGCCAAAGCTTGACATTTTCGTCGCAGCCCCTACAACCACCTCGTTTTCAGAGTAGATGGCTCCCACACGGAATCCTGGTAAACCCAAGTCTTTGGAGAGACTATAGACAACGTGAACTCTGTCCCCAACTGGAACATCGCAATCCTTAAGGTCGTTTCTCTCCTTAAGGATTTCCATGACGCTCACGAAGCCTGGGGAGCTGTAAACGGTGCCGGAGTAAATCTCGTCGCTGATTAAATGCATGTTTTTGTCCTTGATGAAGTCAATGAGAAGGTTCAATTCACTTCGGGACATTGTAGTGCCTAGTGGGTTGGAAGGGTTTGTCACCAACACGCCTTTGACTCTGAGGTTACGCTTCTTGGCGTCTTGATAAGCTTGTTGCAAAGCCGGTTCAGTGATTTGGAAGTTATTGGAGCTTGTGCATTGTATTGGAACGATCTCCACCCCAGTTCGCCACTTGAGATCTCTATCGAATCTGCACAAGCGCAAGCAACATCAGGGATATGTATGGGGAACATAAAAGTACTACCACGTGGGTGTGTGTATACATACTAGGATATTGTATTTTGTTACGTCAAATTTTGAGATGATAAGATCATGTTGAAATAGTGTATTTGTCTCTCTCCTAATAGACAATAAAGAAGACTTATTAGGAGAGACAGATTGACGCAACATTTAAACGTGATATGTGTCATTTTGATGAGATGAATCATGTTAGTTGAATTAGTTATATTTATTATTGCAAAAGGAGCATGCATAATGCTATGCAAGGATATAGAAGATGAAGTAAATACGCACCCTGGGTAATAAGGAGTGGGAAGGAGGAAGGCCTCTCCTTTTTCAGCGAGGCAAAACATGAGGGTCTCGTTTGCTGGCGTGGAACCGGCAGTTAGAACAATGTGGTTGGGATCAAAAGTGACTTTGTTTCCTCTAATCTCTGCCATGAAGTCTACCAATTCCTTCTTGAAGGAAGGGAGGCCATGGTAGTCCTGGAAGAGAGCAAGCTCTCGGAATATGGATTTGCCATTGCTTTTGAATCCAGGCACGTCAGGGTTTTTATCCAGCCAAGACTCAATGAGATCGAAAGAGAGCTGAAAAAAATGACAAAATTTCATTAGCCCACCACCTTAATTAATTATTAGGACGTACATTACTCAATAAAGCCTGATAAGATGGCATGTCCTAGCTAGATTAATGCTGCGCAAAAGCGCACAGTGAATTCTGCTTTGTTTGTTTTCTGTAGTACGTTTTTTTTGTCTTTTTGATTTTAAATAATAGAAGGTGACTGACTATGCACCCCCAACAATATTGCTGCGTAGACGAGAATTGATGCCTAACCTGATTCTCTGCAAGACCCATCTGAATAATTCCTTCGGGATTCATAACCTCATCGTAAGGATTCTTCTCATATTCTTGCCATCCTAGGAAGTAAGAAGAATCTTGGCCGTGAGAGTTGCATGTGGCTTTCGTAGACAGCAGCTTCATTTTATTTATTTTTTTTGTGGTAAGTGGGAAATGATGAAGAGGAAAGAAGTACAGAAATTAAATTGAAGCGCGGAGAAAAGGGAAAAGGGTGAAGCAATTGTAAGAGTGAGGAGGGAGAAGAAAGAATGTCTGGGAGGGACTAACTCTTCTTGATCCTTTGGTACTGAAATGTTGTTGAGATGGATTGGTGGGGGAAGTAGTACATTAGGGTTGTATTTATATGCGGAACCAAATCCTATTGGCACAGAGGGCCACGTGATGCTGAATATAACACTTTTGACCAAGTATACCCTGTCTATCTGCTAATGAGAAGAGGAGGCAAATCCTCACGCGCTTTTCCACCGCCCCATCATGTCACGTGACACCACGCTCCCACGCATCACTCAATATTGGTCAGCTGCTAAAATATTATTATCACTATTCAAAAGTGCATACCAAACGGCAACACCCTCGCGTGGGATTTCAACTTTATGTAATGTTATATTTCCTTCTGTTTCTGACATTTTTTTTTTTTTTTATATTTTGAGAAAAACTAAAACAAATGTTATAAATATAACCAATGATATCATTAAAATATAAATAAAAATTCATCAACTAGCAATAAAAAAAAATAAAGAGAATTATATTGTATGAATTATAAATGAAGAAGTTGGTTAGAGTGGAAGGGGTAGTTACGTCAAAAAAACACAAAGAAACAAAAGTCATGTAACTTGATAGGAGGGGGATATAGTAGACTTTACCATACCGACAGCAAATCACATGGAAAATGGGTCAGACGGTCCAGCAAAGCCCTAGGCTATGCCCAACAGCATGGACCACAATGCTCCCTGGTTGCACTATCCTCCATCTAGCTTTGTCGCCCAATTTCTACGATTATGTTTTAACCTCCCACAATCACCTCTCTATGTTTCTCTCTGATTCTTTTCTTAGCTAGCGTTTTCTAATCTTTTGTCACTGGCTCAACACGTAAGCATGTAACAACTAAATGATGTATCAAAATGATTCGTCAAACTTAGCTCTCTATATTAATAGTAATACCATGATAGTGGATTTTAACCACACTATTGCAAGCAAATAAAAGTTGCATTTGTAAGGAGTTGCTCCGCGTTAATGTTAATGCTCGCTTAATTATAATTTCATTTTCTTCTTCATTTATTCCTTTCACATTTAACGTGTCTTAAAAACAAAAGTTGTGATTGGATACGGAAATAGGAATAAATTCATAAAATACGGTTGTTGTTTATTTTCCTCTACGAAATTATAACAAAATGGTGACAATGATGATTTTCTTTGTATGTGAATCTAAAAAAGTATACAAACATTCGTTGGATCTTTTGGTATATTTAATTGCAAAATTTGATGTTTTTATTGAAATTTAATTTTAGAAAAATGAAAATTTGATATTTTTCTTCTATTAAAATGATATTTGAAAAGCTAAAATAATTGACTTTTTATGAGAAAGTAACAGATCTATTTTTCAAGTGAGCACGAAGATTAATTAAAGACATTCTTAATTAGTTACCACTAATTATATATAAAATATATCAAAGTTTATTTATTTTAAATATAATTATATGATTATATATATTCTTTATGAGTCATTCATCTATTCAACGTAAGACTTTAAATATGGGTAACAATTAGAGATGAGTAAAATATATATTTTTTACTCGATGTGAGATTTTGCTTTTAGAAACAATTATAGTAACATTTTTTAAAAAAAATATTGCAAAATGACCTATGTGACATTATTTTACTCGACATGAGACTTTAATTTTGAAATAATTGAAAAGAATAATATTAAAAATAAAAAAGTTGTTATTCTATATATAATGACATTTTTCAAAAAAAAAATGTTACACAATAACCAATTTATTCAATATATATATAGTAACATTTTAATAAATATAAAAAAAATGTTGCTAAAGAATTAAAATCTAGTAGTGTTAATTTTATATTTATGGCTAAACACAAAAAATATTTAATTTAATGAAAAAGCTGACTTTCTACCATATGGGGGTTGAAAATTATGTGGTTGTCCTCCATAAATCTAGGTTCCATTTTTTTTATCCACTATTATTCTTTTTTGATCCAACAAGAGGCACCATTTATTTTAATTAAAGGAAGGAAATTAAGTTTATAAGTTTTATAAATATAATGTCTTGATTTAAAATAAAAATAAATAAAACAACCAATTTTTACTAATCGATCACTTGTAAATCTTAACCCGTTACCCGCCCTTAGTTTCTAGCTACTTGATTTCATGATACTATTCAATTCAATGTGCTCACATGTAAAGGTGAAATGAAAAAGTCGCAATGAGAAAAATAAATAACCTATTTTGAACCGCTAGATGCCTTTTAGCTCTAGTTAAGTAGTAGAATTAAGTGAAAGCGTTGATCCATTTTTAAGTAATAAAGTGGTTACAGTGATTGTAATTTATCATTTATTTTGATTTTGTTAAAAAAGAAAATGTTTGATGCAAAGAAAGCACACCTAACTTGGTCGGTATACGTAAGGTAGTTAACTGGTAACTGCGGATCCACGAGTTACCCCGCTCACTGATTTGCATAGCCCCGTTTTCTTTTCCTTTTTTTCCCCTCTTTCCTCGTAATTTTTTTTATAATAATTTTCTCCCCTCTGTGTTTAAGTTTTAACATTGTTATTTTGTTTTGACTTGTAAGAAAGGTGAAAGACAACTAATGATGCATATAGCTTTCTGGCCTTTCGAGGTTGAGGTGGGTCGAGTAAAAGAAACCATGCTGAACTAATAAGTAATAACCCAAACTAGCAGCTAAAAGCGAAGACCGTAAATATACGTATAAATAATGTTAAATAGTTTGATCATTTTATTTTATTTTATTTTGGGGGAGGTCTTTTGCCCACAATGCTCCTTCCCTCCTACGTCTTTTGCTGCAGTACGTACAATACAACTCTTTCATGATCAAAAGGATATGGAATAGAGTTTAAATGATAATGATCCATTGCACACTAAAATCTGCTTAGATATATGGATTCATATAATTTCGTATAAAGGCATGATAATGATATTTTTTTATAGTGTAATAACAAAAGAGTGTTTGTTTAAAAATTACTAATGATATATATATGCTAATTTGCTTTCCAAACTTGAAAAGAAAATTTTGGAGATTGGAGGGAATTCTGTAGCCATTAATTACGTTGATTTGAAAATAACAGTAAACGTTATTAAAGTTTATATTAAGTTGACTTATAGTTGTAATAGTATGGTTAAATTTGTACACTTATAAACAAAATGAGAATATATACATACGGAGTAATTATATTTGACATTTTGAAAATGAGTTCCATCTCCGACCAATTCTGTACAAGTTTGTGAATACTATATGTTCTTACCGGAATTTGGTCGTAGGGATGGTCTGCCCAGTAAGATCAGTGAGTCTCCTTTGCTTGATGTGTTGGTGCTCCAAGATGGGGGAGGTACCTGCAAAAGAGACTCCGATGCCAAAGTTAGGGTTTGTATGAGTATGAGTCTCGTATATATAATGCACATACCTTTGTGTGAATTAGGGTTGTCTTGGGCCTGAGATAAGATATGATATGATACGATATCATATAATATGATATGATCACGTTGTGACATAATATGGTATAATTGGATAACGATTTTGGCCTGGGACGAGATCTCCGGGCTCGGGCGTGGTCTGTCCGGATTCCGAGCTGACGTTGTTCAACGCGTGCCCGGGATGACCCTTATAATGTCAACCCGGGCTGAGAGCCCGGGTGCGAAATACGGTCAGTACACTAGCCCCCCGAGCTCCGAAGGCCGTAGGCCGAGGAGTTAAGGTCGGGCTCGTGAGAGGAGAGGTGGCTTTGCGCGTACGCTAGCTGGAGGCTCGCCACGTGTCGCGACTGTTCATGCTCTGGAGACGTTTGATTGACGTATTGGGGGCAGTGACGGTTTTTTAATGATGGTTTGGTAATAAGTGTGTCGTCGGGTGTGCCTTTCAACTGACACGTGTCGCGTCGGTTTTGAATTTCGGGGAGAGTTTTAGCCTTTCTCTCTTCTCGCGCCTCTTCCCTGTCTTTCTTCTGACTTCTCGAGTACGAGAGCTTTTCTTGGTTCCCTTTACCTCCTTTCTCTTTTGCGCTTCCGTCGTCGTCGTCGTTTCCGGTAGTCCCTTCTTTGGTAGGGTTGTTTTCTGAGGAGGAGTACCAGGTACTTCCTTTTTATTTGCTTCTTCTCTTTTTTCATGGCCGGTGGAAGTGGTGCCGGATCCTCTGCGTCTGCCAGGGGCAAGGCGCGTGGCAAGGTGGTGGCCGCCGGAAGGGTCACTGTTGAGAAGAAAGATTCGCCGCCACCTAGGGGCCCAGAGCCGGGCGTTCCTGGTTACGACTGGGTCAAACGCGAGGTGGCCGAGGCTCAGAGCATTTTTCGCTCTTTCCTCGAAGTGAATGCGTTTCGGAGAGCGCATAGGGTTTGCGATTCCTCCATTTCCCACATGATTCGGCTTGAGCCCTGTCAGGCTGATGAGGGCGTGTATATGGGGAGGTCTACTGATCCCCCTCATTTCTATGTATATCAATGCTTTTTTAGGGATTTGGGTGTCTGTCTTCCTTTTACCCAGTTTGAGTGCGATTTTTTGAATTTCATCAACGCGGCTCCTTGCCAGTTGCATCCCAATAGTTGGGGTTTTTTGAGGGCTTTTCAGGTCCTGTGTACAGTTCTAGGTATAGAGGTGTCTCTTCGCGTCTTTCTTCATTTTTATCAGTTGAAGATGGGCGTTCCGCCTTATGGCATTTTGTCCCTGAGCGGGAGTAGGGATGGGGGCTTGTTTACTCCCTACTCCCAATCGTATAAAAATTTCAAGCAGGAGTTTTTCCGGGTCGCCCTTGTGGGTGTTGACCCTTTGGAAGACGAGGTGTTCTACTTCGGCGGTTTGCCGAGGTTTCCATTCTATTGGTGTCCCAAGCCGTCCAGGTTTCACGGTTTGGGGGATCTGAAGGTGACGGCCGCGGAGACGGCCGCCATCAAGAATCTTGCCGCGCTCCCTCGTCCGTTGGATTGCAAGCTCGTCTTGTCGCTTGCGAATTCGCCTTTCAGGGAGAGGGGCCTAGAGAGTGAGTATTATGTGCTCTGGTAGGTTTTTAGGACTTGTGTGGTTGCCGGTTATTGATGTGTTTCTGTTTCTTTTCTGCAGGCATTATGGGCAGAAACTTGTGGCGTCAGCTTAAACACCGCTACAATGTTTCCGAGCTCGAGGTTCCCGAGCCTCCGGAGGAGGATGCTGTCTCCCTAAAGACCCACCGGAAGAGGAAGAGGGGGAAGGAGGAGGTCGGGGGGACCTCCGCTTCTCGCGATGCCGAGGAGGCGACCTCCCGGGTTGTGGACGCTGTGGATCTCACCGACAGCCCTCCGGCCAAGGAGGCCTCGCCGGTGGCTACGGCGGAGGTGGTGCCAGGTGTCGGGCTTACTGCACCGGACGCCGAGGTGAGTAGCTTATCATTTACTCGCATTTTCCGTGTGAGTTCCGTCTTTGTTTTTTGAGGCGTTATGGATCCCTTTGCAGGGCGGGGTTGGCGTTGCTGAGGTGGAGGTCTGCGTTTCCGGGCAGACCGTCCGAGTTGCCAAGGTGGTAAGTATTATCTTTTCGGACTTTTCACTCTGCCTTTTTGTTATGTTGTTTGGCTGTTTGATCTGGGTGATTTTTTTGTAGGCAGGAAATGCCTCTGGGCCTGAGCTGCAGGAGGGGAAAGCCGCTGATCCTGAGGTGCAGGCTTCTGGGCTGGCCGCCCAGGCTGCTGGGGTGAGTCTGTTTTTTTTTTTTTTATGGCTTTCTCGCATGTCTCCTTATCTATTTGTGATGCGGGATTGGTTTTTGCAGGCAGAGTCGGGAGTCCCTAAGGTGGACTCTCTAGGTGCTGAGCAGGGAGGGCCATCCTCTGCCGCGGGCTCATCGTAGGGGCCTGTCCGGACCCAATATCTGTCCCATCGCTTTGGGAAGGGGATATATACGGTGCGGCTGGATCACGTGAGCGCGTCCGCTGACATGGATTCATTGTGGAGCGCGGGGGTGACCGCGGAGAGGTTCTTTCCTCAGGGTTCGTTGAGCTCCGAGGACCAGGGATTGATTGACAGGATCGGTCCCGAGGACAGTTTTGATGCTGCCCAGGTCATGCTGCAGAGGGTGATAGGCATAATGAGTCACTGGAAACCCAAGTGGGGCCAGCAGCGGGAAGACCTAGCCGAGCAGCAGCAGGAGTTGGCTAAGCGGGAGCAGGAGCTGGCCAAGCAAGAGTAGGAGCTGGCTAAGGTGAAGGGTCGGCTTCAGCCATGGAAGGAGGCGGACAAGATCCTGAGGGAGGATAACAAGACTCTCACCGCGGCTGTTGATGAGGCGAAGCGGCGGGAAGCTGAGCTCCGGACCGCGCGTAGCGACCTTGCGCGGGTG